AACACAAAAATGCCCAAAAGTCCATTTATTTTTGTTTCTAGATATTCTTCATTCTTGATCACTTTCCTCATTATTCTCGTCTTCGGGCTCGTTGGAAACTCGAATGTAATAGGCAATGCCCCTTAGGTACCGTGGAATGTCATCTTCATCTTTGAATTCTTGATAGCGTTGGACGCGCTGTAGGATTCTCTCCTGATTTCTTTTCGACTTCTTTGAAATTTGTTGTTTGATCCGCGTATGACCCAAGTCGAGCTGTTGGCAGAGCTGTTCTGTATCCCTTTGATCTTTCTGCATATATATTCTATAAATTTCCAAATATTAAGATGATGGGATTTCACCATTTTCTGATACTTGGAGTGGTACGACTCGACGACGTTGTTAGTCCGGTGTAGTTGGTTTAATACCAAGTCGTAAACACACCACGTTTTGGGAGGCCTTTGTAACCACCTTTTGTAAAACGAAAATTTTACAAAAGCCAAAAAGTTTCACAACTGAGGTTAGTTCAAGAAAAAGGTCAGCCTCAGTGGTGTAGTGGTCAAGGCAGTTCGCTGCCAGCACTGAGGTCCCGGGTTCAATCCCCGGAGGTGACTGATATTTGAGGACACTCAAATATCAGTCATCGTGACTGTGGATGACTATGCCACTCCAATACCCTGACCCTTCGAGGTTGCAGGGTGCGGGAGGGACATAGTCACCCAGTAAGTAATCCGTCTGCACTGTTCGACTGGGTTGCGAAAAATCGGTTATCACTCGTAGTGTGCGCGACTGCCAGCGCTACCTATCAGTGTAGATTGCAACAACACAGTCCAACTCGGTGGAGGCATGGCCGTGCTCCGAAAGTCCGTGCTCTGCAGCGTCTGCCACAGTCTTTGATAAGACCTTCCGTTGGCTATCAGACGGCCGCTGAGCCTTGCGGGAATATAATTGATACTCAATGTGTCAATAGTACGAAGATAAGTTAAGGCGTACGGTCCAACTTCGGGGTGCACGACGGCAGTTGCCAGTTGCCTTGGCCCCTTGAGGGCGCCTCGCCGGCCAGCCCGGCCTTACTTACTTACTTACTTACTTACTTAGTTCAAGAAAAAAAGATTCTCAAATCTTCCCCGTCGTCTCCATGGATTCGAATTTATTTAGTATTCAAGCCGACAATGTCGCCACCTTCTAATTTTTTTGCAAAGGGAATGGACTTTTGGGCATTTTTGTCTTTGGCCAAAAAACCAGTATTGGACATTTAAGATACTTGGACATTTTTAAAATATGGACATTCTCAACTCTGGACATTCTTGCTTGTTGGACATTTTTTTTGGACATTTTGACCTATCACCCTGTTTTTTCCGGCGCTGCACCAGAAAATAATTCGAAAAAGTGACGCGCGGAATTATTTGCTGGTGCAGCGCCGGAAAAAACAGTTTTGACACGATCGGCGAGCAGGAATCGATATATCGAGAACTCTGCGCGCGGAACAGATTTGGAGCGCCGCGCCGGAAAAAATAGTTTTGACACAAACGGCAGGCAGGAATAGATATATCGAAAATTCCGCGCGCGGAACAGATTTGAAGCGCCGCGCCGGAAAAAATAGTTTTGACACAAACGGCGCAAATATATCGAAAACCGGCGCGGAATCCGGAAATTTAGAGATTTTCATCGAAAACGGGTTTTTTCTTTCCGCGCGCCGAAAAAAAATTCCGCGCGCGCAAGAAAAGAGTTTTGACACTAACGGCGTTCCATACGGATACCCCCCCCCCCTCTTAACATCCCCCTAAAATGGGGTTTCAGGGGGCTGAAAATAATTTTACTGCACTCTTTGCGGTCAATTATCCCCTGAAAATTTTCGTCCGAAGCTCAATTCTCGGCCGTTTCTGAGAAAAAGATAGTGGACGGGTGCTGTGGAACACCACACATAGCATATCAAAACAAGCAGTTTGAACTGCGCGCCAGATCGAGGTCCCACTAGTACGTCATCAATATGGCTGGATGTACCAACCTCCTTTTAATCAACCTTGGCTTTATATGGAGTAAGAATACACAATTTGGCATAGCAGCTCAGAAAATTTTGGTACCTGAAAACCTTAAATGCCAAAAGATGACATTTGATCTTTTTCCTTTTCTTTATCAGTCATCATGACATGTAGACAAGTAACAATTTATTATAACCTGTGATATTTTTTCTTGCATAGAGACATCTCTAATTGCTAGTGTTTTGGACGCAAAAATGTTAAATGTTAATATGCTTACCGCACTCTCTTGCTTGTCATCTTTGCTTGACAGACTGATGGGCTTCTTTCTGGCTTTTGGTGTGCGACTAGGAGCAATCGTCGTTTTTCTTTGTTTCTGAGGAAGGAGATAAGACATTAACATTTACAGACGGAAAACTTACTACTTGTTATTTGTAATTGTTTTAATAACATGCTAGAAGGGTAAGATCTCACGTGATATCAAAGTGATTTGGAGAATACACTTGGCTAAAACTCATGAAATTTGCGAGAGATTGCACTTTTCTCGGTAATAACTGGAGTTGGATCAGAATTGCTATCAGTTTATCTGAAAAATTCTAATTTTGCTACTAACTCAAACACGAATCTCAAATTCACAAGCAACATAGTGCAGTTCTAGGTGTGGAAAAAAACGTTTCTTGTAAGCGCACCTTATTTTTAAAAAAAACGCTTTTCAGCCACAGTGGAAACGAAAGATAGATTTTGACTGATCATTTCTAGGAAAACAGTTGCGCCAAATAAGCTTGACAGGTCGAAAAATTGTCCCCTTTGACCTTGAGATTGAGATTTTTAGGATGAAGGGCGGTTTTAGAGAGTAGGTGCATAAATAGGTTGTTTTGAAGGCCACGACGAGACGAGTTTTTTGAGGTATCACCGACTAAGATTGGACGAGTTCAAGAATCATCCCCCTTTAGACTTGAGATTATCTGGATGAGGGGTGGTTTTAGAGGGTAGGTGAATATAGCTTGTTTTAAAGGCCGCGACGAGACGAGTTTTATGAAGTATCACCGACTAAGATCGGACGAGTTCGGAAAGTCATTCCCCAGTGACCTTGACGATACTGAACTAAGGGATGGGCCAATTTTCACCAAAAATGAAACTTGATGTAGACCTCATAGCAGTAAAGAACCATGCTTAGTTTCGTTTTGATCGTATGGATAGTTCCGAAGAAAAACGGTCGCAAGGGTTCATTAGATCCCCGTTACAAATATACTAGGGGGCTACGCCCCCTGGCCGCTACGCGGCCCAACACCCTGAAGGCGCTCCGCGCCATCAATGAGCCGCTTCGCGGCCCTATTTTTACCCTCCTGTCAGTTTTAGTTTTATTTTTACCCTAAAAAATTACGATATGAGGTATACTTTAATTTTAAACTTTACTTAAAATTACTTTAAAATTAAAATGACACGTTTTGGAATGACTGCTTGATGAAATATTGCAGTAAAACAATGAACAATGATAGTCAGGTAATAATGAAGATATCATGAGTCGGGGATCGAACCCACACCGAGGTAAAAGTGGACGCCTTCGACGTTTTAGACGACTCAGCCACCTCTCGACATGAAGTCGCCGGTGCGAATCTTGTGTAGATAAGCAAAGAGCTGATGCGCAGGCTACACAGCTACTGGGCAACCTCCTCGACCACCGCGCATCCTCCCGCGCATAGCGGTAGCAATCCTGGAGCATTCTGTAAACTCACTCACTTTTATAACGTGATTATAAAGTAACCTGGGTCCTTTTTCCAAAATCTGATTACAGCAGGCTCATCTAGGGCCTATTACCTGTCGATTTACGTAAAAATCATGGAAATCGGCCCGGTAGAACGCTCAAACGAACTATGACAAAAAGTATAAATTTACCTTGTTTAAATAGGAGAATTCGCAACTTTACCACGTAATATAAAAAAACCTGGGCCATATTTTGAAAATCTGAAAGGAGTTGGCTTATCTAGAGACAATTGCCTGTTGATAGCCACAAAAATCAAGAAAATCGGCCCGGTAGAACGCTGGAACTAAGCGTTACCAGTTTCGCAAAATTAGGAGGTCTCGGAGCTTTATAGTATAGATAAGAGGCCTTGTATGTAACAATGGCAGTTGTAAAAAAATACCTTTTAGAGACACGCTTAAAAAACTGTTTTGTTAAGAAACAAATTTAATATGTTTGGCTCTGGCATAATGTACAGATCTCGAAGATCACATTTCAAGTATTTTCTCAAAATTTTCTCGATGAGAAAACAGTTTTTTGAATGTGTTTCGAAAAGGTAATTTTTCACATCCCCTATTGTTACAGATAAGTGCTTATATATAAATGTGTATCGTACTGTCTTTATGAGCTACATTTTTCAACTCAGGGCTTCAGGATCGATGCTCTTTGAGCAAAAATTACAAGGTTGTACCGTCTGCAATAGGTAGATATTTCTTCGAAATCTACCTAAAAAAATTACATGTTATATCATTCTCCTCTTTGTCATTTGAATCGAGGTATGCGAAAACGTCCGATGTCCATTTTTTTGGATTTTGAGTTTTTTGGCTTAACGTCATCTTCGAGGGTAGGCGCATCTATGTGTAGACGGATTTGACCTGTTTTTCGTTTTTTCGCCCCCATTTAAGGGGTCGAACCTCAAAAGTATGCGAAAACGTCCGATGTCCATTTACGAGGGTCATCCAATGAGGTTCCCTACCTCTTATCTTCCAAACGGAAAGAGATAAATCAAATCGGTAAAAAAGCTCTTATAAGGCATATTCTAAGCTTTAAAAGAAGCTCAAGTTTTTGAAAATTGGTCGAGGGGTTTGCGAGGAAACTTAATTTTACTGCGACAACTTCCTGTCGCCGCGCGCCCACCTTCGGAGTCTCGATGCGCGGAGAGTCAATTATTTCAGACTTGGGTTTTCGCCGCTAAGCATCATATCAAAAAGAAATTTGAAGGTTTTTATTGAGTAGACCTTACCTTACTTTTTGACGTAGTCTCCGCCTCTGTTTTGACATTTCTGGTGTCAATATTGCAGCTTCTTGATGCTTTCCGCGTAGAGGCTGGCTCTTGTCTTGGCACCGGAATCCGTCATTGACAGCGCTCTGTACTTCCGAATCATTCGGATTTCACTTTCCACCGAGGAAGATTTTCAGCTCAGTGAACAGACGAATGTCACATGAGGCTGAATCGTAAGAGTACGGAAGATGGAGGGAAATTTTCTTATGCAAAGCAACTGATTCGGAGGTGTAGAGGGCTTGTCAATGACTGGTTTCGGTGCCACTACGCGGCTACGCTAGCGCGCACTAGCTTCTACGCGGAAGGCATCAAGAAGCTGCAATATTGATACCAGAAATGTCAAAACAGAGGCAGGGACTTCGTCAAAAGGTAAGGTAAGGTCTACTCAATAAAAACCTTCAAATTTATTTTTGATATGATGCTTAGCGGCGAAAACCCAAGTCTGAAATAATCGACTCTCCGCGCATCCAGACTCCGAAGGTGGGCGTGCGGCGACAGGAAGTTGTCGCAGTAAAATTAAGTTTTCTCGCGAACCCCTCGACCAATTTTCAAAAACTTGAGCTTCTTTTAAAGCTTAGAGTATGCCTTATAAGAACTTTTTTACCGATTTGATTTATCTCTTTCCGTTTGGAAGATAAAAGGTAGGGAACCTCATTGGATGACCCTCGTACTTTTTTCCACTCCATTATTTTTACTTCGGCACATGACATGAACGGGTTTTTGAACGGTACATGATAGCCCATGATTTTTGTTTAACAACCTGTATAAGTAATCGAAACTTTCCCAATCTTTTTTCAATTTTTAACTTGTTTAAGACGCATTTCAAAACCATTTTACTGACTGTAAATTTTTTATAGATGGAAAGTCATGATTAATGCTAAAGTTTCCGTCCGGTCAATGTATTACTCCAGTATTTGTCTTGTTCTTTCTCCTTAGCATGAGTTTTCCTGTTAAAAAGTTCACACTTTATTTTGTTTAACATCGATTCACCCTACTTTATATAATTACACTCGATTTTATGCATTCTAGGCAATCCTAGAGTAGAGCAAAAGAGTGGAGTGGTTGCGCGGACTGCACCGCCCCGGAAAATCCATTTTGAGACGGTAACTTTTGCAACGCTGGGGTGCCGTCTCGTTACGCTCTCAGGACAAGCTTGATACACGAATTTGTAGCATTTTGAATCTACTTTCATTTGAAAGGAT